TTCGTATCTTGCAACAGCTCGTTCACCTCTCGTCCCTATTCCCCTCTTCTTCCCCCAGTTCGACATTTTTCAAGGAATTTTCAGGATTTATTCGACGCGATCTTGCAACCACAGCGCGCACAATTTATTTCGAATTCTCTGAAATTCATTGAAACAAAAATTTCCTCGACCACCGTAACTAAACGAATGGCCCTGTTATTATTCAATCCATCGTGTTCACCCGCGATAATCGAAATTCGCATAATCGAAAGCCGACGAAAGAGTGCGCCGGTCATTGTGCATCCGCGAGAAAAATCGTTACGGCGAAGGGGTTAAATTCTGCCTTCTGTTCTCCGGGTGCCGATCGTTCTCCCTTTATTTACATTTTCCAGCGCTATCCCCGTTGTTCGGCGGTCCGAGGTCGATCCGAAGCGGTCGTAATAGTTTATTTATTGGGCGGCGAGCACGCGGGTGGGTGCCATCCCCCATAGAAAAAGCCCGTCCGTCGTCGACCGTTTATTTACGCCGGCGACGAATCGCGCGCAAGAAATCAAAGTCGCCGATCGATCCCCTAAATCCGGCGGCCCGGTCCCGGCCCGAACGTGTCGTCCGACGGCGGCCCGCCCCTCGCGCCACCCCCTCGAGCCGCGCGTCCAAGAAAAACGATTCCCGATCGTTTTTTACGATCGCGTAGCGCGCGCCGTAATCTCCTCCTGATCCGCGGCGGGCTCGTAAAAGCCTCGCGGCCGAGATCGATCTAAACCGGGAGCGAAGTCACCGAAACCGGGCCATTATTTCCTGGTCATTTCGTGGAAACGGCCGCCCGACGGCCGAACGAACGCCGAACGGTATCGCCGAACAGGATCGATAACGGATACCCGGCCCCCGACGTCGATGTCGATTCGATTCGTTTCGTTTCGCTTCGATTTCGAGATACGCCGGTCGAAACACGCCCCCCGACAACGACCAAATCGAATCAAACAATCCGCCGAAGAAACTAATATGCAGCCTGTCCGAGCACCGATATCCTCCCCGCGGACACGGCGCGTGCTGGATTCTGCAGAAAAAAGCGCGCCGGAAACGAAGCACGCGATTTTCTTTTTCGTGACGGTCGTGTCGTTTCTGAGATAATCGATTAGGGATGATTCGAACGATAGAACTGCCGAAACAGTCGAGACGACTGCTTTCGGATCTTTTTTCGTTTGCAATCCCTGATATTGTGGAAATGGTTTTGTCAGAGATTTTTGTATGAATTTTCCAGGATATATTATGATAAATTAATAAAATATTAAAAATATAAATAAATAATATTATATTATATATATTATAATATATATAAATATTAAAAACTGAAAGTAAATAAGATGGTATAAAGTAAAAATAATAGTAGAAATATAGTAGAATAACAACAAAAGTAGAATAATCGTAGAAAGTTAAAATAAATGAAATTTGTATAAACAGAACAGCGAGGACGTCGCAAGAGTGTCAGAATTTCTGTACAGTATTTTCAATTTATCGAGGCTGTCGCGGGAAATTTAATCATTTTGTTTCAACCCTTGTTTTGTACTGTAATCGATGCGAGATATTTTATTTTGCGATTTCAGAATATTCTCACACACCGTCGTTAAGACATTACTCTTGACAAAGGTGCAAATTAAATGGCAGAAAGATCGTAAAGAAAGAACGAAATAGAAAGAAGAAGAAGAGGTATACCTAAATTATTAGAGTCGCGTGCGGTGTAATAGACTTTTTATTTCGAAAAAAAGTCGTATAACGCAGCTGACTAGAAACTGTTTTTGACAGGCGTACTCGTCGTGACGCAAAACGTTGCAAATCTCTTCGTGCCGAGTACACTCGTCGAAAACAGCTGACCGGTTATCATGAAGGGCAACATGCTTTGATGTTCTTCATTAAATCATATATGTCTTCGAATCGTTGAGCTTAAACAAAATATCAAGAAAATCTCGATCGTACACAGTACAACTACGGTAACCAACCACACTTTTCACAGAGATTACACCGGCAATCTGGTTAAGAGCGTTGCGTACACACCGAGAGATCGGAATAATTGTACAATGCTGCCCGTTAATTTAAATCTTGGGTAATCCAGTTCTCCGAGGGGAAACATTTGGCATTTGGAAAAAATCGTTATCCCAAAGCGGGCTTCGTTCGGTGTACCGTGAAAGATCGCGTACAAACTAGGTACACCGGTTCGTTCCACGGTTAGTACGAAGATACGTTTCACAGCGTTTGGGCTCGTTAATATTTCAGAAAATAGGGTTCGTCCCTAGTTTGCGCCCACGAAACCCCCGCCGCCTTTTCAAATCGCTGGAAAAAAAAACAATGCCATTGGACTGCACATTTAGGATCGATACAGCACGATCCCTCTGCGATACACCCCCGCCCCACATTTTTTTCTCCCTTTCGCGCTTTTCCCACCCTCCGACCATCCCGGCTCGCCTGGCTTTTCCCCGCCCCTGTAACCCCCGCCGCGTGCTCGCACATCCAGAGTCACGGTGCCTCGCTGGCTGGCCTCGGACGAAATTTTTCTCTCAACCCTTTTTAATGGGTCTGTCTTTGCCCGGCGCGAGGACAAAAAAACCGCCCTCCGCGTGTTTCGGCCGGGCTCCCCGAGGCTCCGAGTGGGCTCGTCTCGGCTCGTTCCCGAACACGGGAATACCGACTTTTCCTAATTTTTCTGCCCTTCCCTCCCCCGCCCCCTCCCCCTTTTTGCTTTACGGCCGCGAACAAACCCGCCGAAAACTCGGTTTCCGCCCTGCGGATTCCGCTACCCGCTTCAGAAGCGCCTCTTTCAATGATTCGCGACGGGAATGCTCGTTGTTCGCGGAACGGTTCGATGATTTCTTCTTCGTTCGCCGGTTTCGGCGCGGTTTCGGCGGATCGTGTAGCAGCTTTTCGCACAGCGAATTCGGCAAAATCGCACCGCGCCGCCGTTCGATCGAACCGATGACGTAAAATAAGAACGCGAGCTTGCGTGTCCCCGAAAATAGTGTTCGAGTCGACTGAACCGAGCCGGCCGAATTATTTCTAAATATAATATCGATAAATTCTTGCGCGCCGTTTAAATGATTACGCGCGCCGGAGAACGCTGAAATTGTAATATCGCGTCCAATTATTGCACTGCGGTTTTCGCCATCTTCAATTCGTTGTAACTCATTAACGACGTCGATCGATTTCGATACGATCTTCAGCACGCGAGATCTACGAGAGGCATTTTTTAAATTCTTTTTTATATATGCTCTAAATTCTAATATTGTGTCCAATTATTGCACTGCGGTTTTCGCCATCTTCAATTCGTTATAACTCATTAACGACGTCGATCGATTTCGATACAATCTTCAGCACGCGAGATCTACGAGAGGCATTTTTTTAATTCTTTTTTATATAGGCTCGGATAAAAAAATTAAGAAGCGAGAGCTTTGCATTCTTTTTTCGTCATTCCAAGTAATAGCAAAATTTAAAAGTATTTTGGTCATCGCCCGCTATCGTCTGTTACCCCTGTTATCATCTAAAAAAAAAGTTCAGCTCATTTACTCGAGTTTCAAAGAAGTTATTGCGTTTCGAAAGGTGCACGAACACTTCCGTCGGCCACCGTAGGTATCCCAAGAACGTATCGTCTCTTGATTTAGGGGACGCGACCCGCAAAAACTGGGGGCTGGATTCTAGAAAACCGTATGGCCGGTTGATTTATCGTCCGATAAAAACGGATCTTCCTCCGAGGGTAGTATATTATTCGCCGAGGGGTAGAGATCCGCCGTATCATTCTCCGCTCTCGTTTCTCCGAAAGGCCGAGCGTTCCGCTCGAATCGCTTATTTGCTTTAGGGGTCGGATTCCGCAAAGACGCGCCCCGTGCTCGGTGTAACGCTCCGCCGACAAAAAAAGAAAACAATCTCGAAGAGCCGGTCGGCAAAATGCCGGTCTTCAATCGCGAAAACTTCGAGCACCCGTTGGCAGAAGCATCCGCGAAACGTCGAACTACGCGAAAGAGAGATATCGCGTTGCCCCGCCGCGAGTGCCGCGCGCGTTTCGGAATGCTTTTGATCCCCGTGCAAACTAAAAGAACGCGGAGCCCCTCCTCGGTCGGAGCTTCAAACACAGGGCTTCGAATAACTTCTTCGTTCCGAGTGCACATCCCCCCTCCCCTTCCCACGCAGCGTCATTACCACCCCCGTGCTGTTTATTATTCGCAAAAATCTGCATCCGCGGTGGAGAACCGGAAAACTCGAGCGCACCCGCTCTCTATCTCGGCAGAAATTCATCTCCACGGTAAACCGGAGAGAAAGAGAGTGCCAGAGAGAGAAAGAGGGGTGGGAAATAGAAGGAGAGCGAGTGTATCATCTCTGAAACGGTTCCCGAAACCCGGTTACCCGCGAATTACCCGTCCGATCAAAGCGCGGCCCCGGAGGCATTCCAGGTGCGTGTAAAATTTCATATCGGCCCGCGGTTCCGTCGATCCCCTCTCTGTGAACGTCTCCGTTCCATCGGCGTTTACCTCTGCCCTCCCCCACTGCCCCCGAATCCTCCACCGCTTTCGGCATCCAGGCGATATTATCGGCCTCGCGATAACGGGTCGCGCCCGTTTATTGCGCGCCGCTCGCGGTCCCGAAAAGAGAAAAAGACAGCCCAGACGCCGGGAATACGTCCACTCGACCACCCTATTCATCCCCGAAATATTGAATCCCGCCTTTCAGAGCCCGGCCGTCCCGCCCTCTTCACGCTTCCAAAGGCTCACCTGTGAGGAACGCCGCGATCACCTGGTCGCGTAAATCTCGCTGGCTTTCGATCGGGGGGATGACGAGGGGAGAGTCTAGGGTGCTTCGGTAATCATCGGGAACGTGTTCGGCATCGACGGAAGTCATCACAGGCTGGCATCTTTTGGGGGGGACGACGAGAAGTTCGAAATCCGCGGGATGCGTCGATCGTTTCGGATCGCGATTAGGATCGTTTCGGACCGTTTAGGATCGTTTCGGGCCGTTTACGAGCGGTCTGTTCGACTCACCGATGAAGGACACGTTGAGCAGATAGTTCCTGTAGAAGGAACCCCGATCGTAGGCCGCCATGCTGTTGCAGAGACCCTCGCGCTTCGCGCAGCTGTCCTTCTGCAGGTTGTGCAACGCGAGGGCGAACGCGTACACCGCGTCGACGACGAACTGCACCTTGGACTCCTGCTCGTAGCCGGACGCGGCCGTCAGTCTCAGCTGCGGGGAGCACGGCGTGGTGCCGTTCTGGAAGACCGGCGATGATCTCCTCAGCACGCAGCCGAACACCTCTTCCCAGTACTCGGTGAACCACGGGTTCCTGCGGTTGTTCTCCGGCGTGAGCGAGGCCATGTACTCGTCGAAGCCCGGTATGTTCTTCGACTGCAGCTCGACGGTGATCGCGCCCTCGGCCTCGTCCTCCAGGCCCTCCACCAGCTTGCCCTGTCGACCCCAGCCGTCGCTGGCGAGCCACTGGAACGGCTGGCTCAGGTTCGACCGGCTGGCCGCTTCCAGGATCCCTCGAGCGTCCTCGGCCCTCGTGAACAACACCACCGCTCTGGCGTTCGATTTCTTGCTAAGCCGCTGGATGATGTCGTCGAAGATGTGGTCGTCCGCCGCGCTCGGCACCTTCAGGGCCGCCGCGATGCACACGTTGCGCTCGGTCGCCTCGCGCGTGAACACCTCTATACCGTACTCCCCGTAGCTACCCTCCGAGTACACCGTGGAGACGTACGACCAGTTCGCGCTCTTCACCACGTCCACCAGGGCGATCGACTGGAACGTGTCCGGCGGCACTGTCCGGGCGAAGTAGTCGAACCTGAGGACACGATGCGGAGGGGGCCATTTGTTAAACTATTTGAATATACAAGATACTCCAGAAATGTTCCTCGGGTTATTTGGAGTAACTTTTTCCTTAGCGAAAATGCGATCCGAGGCTTCGTTTACGAGTTATTCGCGAAAAACGATGACCAATGAGCGGCGAGCTCGACTGGCGCGAGGCGGGCCAGCGCACGAAGCCCGCTTCCGCCATTGGCTCGACCGTCACGCGTTAGCCGACCTCGCCTCGCATTGGTCACTGTTTTTCGCTGATAACTCGTGAACGGAGCCTCGGATTGCATTTTCGCAAAGGAAAAAGTTGCTCCAAATGATCCGAGGAATCCCCCATTTCCGTATTACGAGACATTTTTAGAACACCCTGAACAGTTAACCGATTGGTGATACTTGACGTCCAAGGATGCAAACGAATCAATGAAGGAAAGCAAAAGAAATTGAGCGTATTGTCCGGGATCTTCTAAAGGATCGGACTATTTAACAGACTCTGCTTTGGACGCGGGAATATCGTAAGAACGGCGTATAGAATAATTGCAGGAAATGCAACTATGCGTCTGCCACGCAGCCATTAGCTGTTCCCTCTGGTACCAGGGGGACCGTCGATATCTAAAGGTACAGAAACGAGAGCCAAAAGCATCTCCTAAATACCTGGTCTTGTCGCTGAGCGCCTTGGCGGTGGACGCGGGCGAGATCTGTGGTATATGGAACAGCCTGAGCAGGTTGGCCACCTGAAGGGACACCGAGCTGTAGGAGCCCCCGATCACCCCGAAGATGGGGCCGACGGAAGCGGTCTTGGTGACCTTGGGCACCGATCGATCGGCGCACTCGAGGATGCTGGTGTCCGGGCCGGACAGCGAGGCCCTAACGAAATGCAGGCTCTGATTGAGGGCGTAGGTGTCTCTGCTGCAGGTGTCCAGGATGTGGACGCCGAGGGTGATGCCGGGCAGGATGGTTCTGTTGTTGTTGATCTGGTCGATGGCGAAGAGCATCGCCTCGAGACGTTGCACGCCGCGGTGGTAGACATTGGGACCGCAGGAGGAGCTGCCTTTCTCGTGCACCGGGAACAGGCCCCCTAACACGATGTCCCCGGGGATCACCACGGCCTCGCGTTCGCTGTGATTCTTCGACTGCGTCACCAGGGGAAGCTGCTGGAGCGACAACAGTAGGATCAGCAGCCGACCGAGATGGTGGCTCATTGTAACCGGTGGGGGCTCTTCGGTTCACGAGGCTTCTGACATCTTATTTCGAGTCGAGGAGACCTCCCTTCGATGGGTCTCCCACCTTGGACCGGGTCCCCGAGCCGGGGGATCTCTTCCAGCCGATATTCGAGCTGCACCAGGCCCTCGACGAGGTCTCCGAACGGGTCTGGCCCAAATCTCGAACCGAATCTCCGAGTTGAACCGGGCCTCTCGGCTCGACGTTAGCTCGCTTCGCAGCCGAAAACTCCACGCCTTTGCCAGATCCAGGCCGGCCAGGGGCTGTTTGGGTCCGCCGGGATGATCTATCTACGTTCTCGACGCGAATTTAATAATATCTCCGAGTCCTCTATCCCGGGACTTGTACCGTTCTTTAAAGTCGATCCGTTCGACTGGTATCGATGTCGGGCGAAGTTTAATAGCTACTTCGTACCGAGTTACACCGTTCTCTCTCTCTCCTCTCTCTCCTCGGTATATATATATACACAGCCTCCAAGAGTCTCGAAATTAGGTTTCTTTAAAGCCTCGAGCCGACTCTGCGAGATGTCGGTCGCGTCCTGCTCGCTGCTCTCCCAGGCTCGTTGCAAGTTTTCAGCGAGGGACCGCGTGTCCTCTTCCCGATCTTCCGAGAGGCGGGGGCTGTCTTTTTAAAGTCGATCGCTCGACTGTCGGGACACTTCCCTTCGAGTGAAAATCGAGTCTCTTTAAAGTCGATCAATCGACTGTGGAACTGCGTCTGCGTTTCGTCTACGGCGGGGACAGGGAGGGACCGGGAAGAAAGGCTAACAGGATTCTTCGGCGTAGAAAAACTTTCTCCCTTTGGCTAGTCGATTTTTAGGCTCTTCGAGGCTTCGCCGAGGCAGCGATTAGGCTCTCCGGGGGTCGCGGAGGCCGCGATTAGGCTCTCCAAGGATTCGCAAACGCCGCGATTAGACGAGATCTCGCTTTAGGCTTCGGCGTACAGCTGTCTAGCTTCGCGGTGACCGCGATCAGGCCCTCGGAAATCTCGCTGTGGGCTTCGGTGTACCATCTAGCTTCGCGATTAGGCCCTTCGAGCCTGCGCGTTGTCAGGCTTCGGCGTCTAAACTCCTTCGCGAGCGAGACAGTTAAAGCGAGTCCCTTCGCTTCTCTCGGAGTTTTCTCTTAGAACGAGCTATCTTCGCAGAAGCTCGCAGGCCTTCGGAACCTCGTTGCACCACAATTTGCGTGATCTCACGGTTAGAAGAGTCCAGAGTGGCGTCCGCGATCACTGCGAACGCAGCGTCAACGTCCCAGCGACGGCTTGAAGTCGTCCTGAAGTCGACGGCTTCCCGCAGCAAGTCCGCCCCGGCGATCCGTGGATCCCCAGCACCCGGAGCGAAGTCCCGGCTGACCCCTCTCGATCTCCACCTGGCGTCCGCGTAAGCAATCGCGATATTAATGCGTCGGGATTCGGTGGAAGCCGGGCAAAGATTACCGAAGCATTTTATCGATCGAGAAACGCCGGATGCCCGGCGTCGCGACGTCCGGAAGCATGCTATTTCCCGGCCGGCCGACCCGGAAAAACGCTCCTCCGTCGATTCCGCGGAACGCACCGTCGCCGATCCCGGCGCGACGATCCTGACGATTTCCGGCGCCAGCGGCGTTTCCGGCGACGTCGCAGCACGCCTCGGAACCGTCGGACGATATTTTCCCCGAGTCTTACGGGGCCCGATAAACTTCCGGCCCGTGTGGACCACTTCGCGGCCCCCCGCGGGTGTAAATCGTCGGGAAACATCTTTCGTTTGACCCCGAGAGAGACCGACCGACCGACCGGAACCGGCGGTGTTTTTTCCACCGCGGTGGAAATTAATGGCAAAGAGAAACGTCTTCTTCGATAGAAATGGTACTCGAGTTGCGGAACACCGATAGCGCGAAATGAGCTCCGCGAGTTTGCTTATGAAACTTGCTTTCGCGGCGCAGAGACTGCCGCTCGGGGCACGAAAGTACGCGAACACTTTTTTCGTTCTCGAAAGAAATATCTTCGGTGAGTTTAACGATGTACCGTGTAATCTAGATTTTGCAGTGTTGCGAGGCAGTTGTCAAGATTATTTTTTTGCAGGATTATTATAATATCCCCAAAATATCTCGCATTCCGGAAATTGGGAGGGCAGGTTCCTGAGATTATTTGGAGTAACTTTTTCCTTTGCGAAAATGCAATCCGTGGCTTCGTTTACGAGTTATTAAGGAAAAACGGTGACCAATGAGAGGCGAACTCGGCTGGCGCGAAGCGGCTGAGCCAGTGAGCGGAACTGGGTGTCGACCGCGCGTTGACTGGACCGCCTCGCGCCAGCTGACCCGGTCTCTCATTGGTCACTGTTTTTCGCGAATAACTCGTAAACGAAGCCGCGGATCGCATTTTCGCTAAGGAAAAAGTTACTTCAAATGACCTCGGGAAACCCATTTCCGAATTATGAGACATTTTTGGGAAATCTTGTATATTAAAAATATGAAATAACGAATGATATTCTTCTCGATTACAACGCGAGACGAACGGGACAACCGAGCGATCTCTATCCTGTTTTCTACTGTTTCTCTGTTTCGAATCATGTTTCTGAATCATGTATCGCTTCATGTTCGTATCGAATCGTGTTCATATATTACTATTATTCATCGTGCATCATTGTGAACCGCCCGTATACATCAGAATGCAGCGGATAAAATGTTAAAATCGCCTGAAAGATTCGAATAGTTAATTTCTAAAATTTCGAGACTGCAAATATCGCACGTGTTTGCAAGACTCAACAACGGTAATCGTATGAACTATACGAGCACATGAAAAAATGACGAGTGTCCGCATGAGCGGAATAAATTTAATACGGAAGTGTCTTATCGAAGCGTGCAACGGTTAAAAATCCGACGATATTCCTGGACGCGAATGTTGCTCGTTCTCTTTCGCCGTTCTTTTTTTCCAGCAAGTTCGTTCGAATAAAATCCGCGCGGCACGCACGTGTTTTCGCGGAAACCGAGCGGACCACGTAGGATCAATTAACGGCAATTACGCGTGAACGGGGAACGGTTGGAATCGTTTTGTTTCTTAGCTGTTGTCGGCGCGGAAAAACAGGAAAAACACCGGGGCAGGAGCAAACAAAAGGGAAGCGTGCACGGTATTTTAACGAAAATATCGATGAAACAATTATTAATACCCGCTCGCCCGTTTGCGAAATGCGAGATAGTGTGCATTGGAACATGAAAATTACACAGACAAAGAGAGAGAGAGAGAAAGAGAGAAGGGTATTAAAGAATTGTTAATTCCACGTAACAAAGGCGACCGTGTAGCGGAAATTATTAGTAACGTCCATCGATCCTTCGCTGTACAATTGACTGCCCCTCGGCGTTCCCTCGATATAAACAAAGATATTTATTCTTTCGTTGATGGCGGATCGGTACTTTCTCCGTTTAACGAAACGATGCGCTTCGATCACGGCCGATTAATTTCTTCGTCCGTCCGATAGTATTCGATCGGCTAAAAAAGTTAATTACCCATTCGCGAGCCGGAGAGAAATCCCATCGGCTATTAAATGCACGAATTTCGTGGACCCTCGCGATCCCTCCCCCATTGATATTCTTTCAATAAAATCCAGGTTTTCACATTCTTGCAACGGCCGGCAATTCGTGCTTGACGCTGCCACGAGACCCGGGGTGCATCGAAATAATCGGCTCTCCTTTTGTTTTCTTTTTTTCCAATTAGCGTAGTCGCGAAGATTCTGCCGTTGAAAAATTAGCGAGCACGTTCACTTTGACGCGCATTATAGCAAAAACGACGCGAAATTCCAACGAGCGTAATCTCGTTATCTTCATTAGAGAATAATCCACCCCCGCGGGTGATTTTGGCCGAGGGTGACAGTAATTTCTCCCAGAAATTTTCGAGTCGGAATCGAATCGTTTCTCCCCGTTCCTCGATCCAGCGTTAACAATCGAACGGATAAAAGGGAAACCCGCTCCTGGATCGCTTTAAAAAATGGTCGGCGAACGAACTCGTTCGACTAATAAACAGCACGACGACGGATCCAATATGGCGCGGGCTTCCGAGTCCGCGGGCTCGAAATTAATATCAGGATTAACAAATGCGGGAAAGAGAGCGAAAGGGTGGAAAGGGGGGAGGGGTGGCTAAAGTGGGCGTAAACGCTGGCGAAAAAAACGGCGAAAAAGACGGGGAGAACAGCCCCCTCCTTATCTTCCCCGTCGGATATCTTTCCGCTCGCCGCGCCGCGCGCCGGTTTCATTCGATTTAACTCGACGACGTGACCGCGTCGGCCGCTATTTAGGACGATTTCACTCTTACCAGTTTTCTGAAAAGCCGCGACGAATGGGCGAAAAATAGAGAGGAGACGCGGCGAAAGGAAGTGGGGAAATAAGAGCGAGGGGGGACGCCGGGGGGGACAGCGCACGCCGTCAGCGTCAAAACGGCTGCGAAATTCTAGGGGCTGGCTCTCGCTCCTTCGCGGGCTCGTTAAATTTCCCGACTCGTACTCGTTAAGCGGACTTAATTTCACGGAACTCTAACAACCGTGGCACCGGCAGCCGGCTTTAAATTCGAGGGCCCTCCGCCGTTTTTCCCCCACCCCTGTCTCGCCTAAGATCGCCGACAGACGCGCGTCCATCCCCCCTCTTCTCGCCCCCATTGTCGTCTCGCTCCCACGCGAATTATCTCGCGCGCGTATTAAACGCGACGGATATCCCTCCGTAGCGTCTCGCTAGGTTCGACCGATTCGAATTTATTCGCGACGTTCCTCAACCCTCGAAATCGTCGGGGGTTGAAATGAGCGTTCCGATTGTTTCTTTCGCCGTCGCAGAAATTGTAAAAATGTTCCCTTTTCGTGCACACGCGGTAGATACCGTGTTATCCGAGCTGATCAAAGTGAAACGAGTGTTCTGCGACACGTTAGATTAGTTCTTTACCGATTCGTCTGCGAGATAGTATTGTGTACAGATTCCCGAGACATGTTACATCGAATCATTAATTTTTCTACGAGATAGCATCGCGTACAGATCGCCGGACGTGTTGGATGAATTAATTACTGTTTCGTCTGCGAGACAGTGTCGCATATACATCACTTTATCTCGATCTATTTCCACGCCAGACGCTTTTAAATTGGAAATAATTCAGAGATCCGACTCTCGGTTAATCGAGATCGAGCAACAGCAATCCTGACATTGCCATGAAATAAATATACACCGTGTTCCAAAAATGTCTCGCAATCTGGAAATCGTGGATACCTGAGGTCATCTGGAGTAACTTTTTCCTCGGCGAAAATGCGATCCGCGGCTTCGTTTGCGAGTTATTAAGGAAAAAGCAGTGACCAATGAGAGGCGAGGTCGACAGGCGCGAGGCGGTCCAGCCAGCGAAGCGCGCGAAGCCTAGTTCCGCTGATTGGCTCTGCCGTCTCGCGCCAGTCGAGCTCGCCTCTCATTGGTCGCTGTTTTTCGCGAATAACTCGCGAACGAAGCCGCGGATCGCATTTTCGCAAAGGAAAAAGTTGCTTCAAATAACGTTTTCTGGATTGCGAGACATTTTTGAGACACCCTGTCGCGTTCAGATAGTTCTAGCGTCAATAAAAATGGATGAGAACATCCCTCTCCGTCGCGAATACGAAATAGGGAGCATGTGACGACCGAACGGCGGTAAATCCGCGCTGATTGATAACAACATGAGGTTCCGGTATTGTTATAAAAATTATCAAAATTATATTAGCAATTAGTATTGCCATAAAAATCCGCCGTTGCTATAAAAGCAAGTATAAAAGTACGCGTTAGTCGCGTTTAGAGCTCGATGCTTCCGCCGTTACTGTGGACGGAGGAGGACAACCCTTTCGCGAACGTGGAAAGGAAAGCGTGCGGCGCCCGAGCGGCGGGAGTCCCGGGCTGATTGATAACGGAGCAACGGGCCGGCGAGTCGTGGGACCATTTTTTAACGGGCCGTGTCAGGCCATTATTCCCCGAAAAGCCGGTCTCTTTCGGCGGGGCGGAAAAAGAGGGCCGGGCGGCGCGCGGCGGCCCTCTTAGCCGCGAGATAGATGTTCAAATGGAACGTGCATATCGAAAATTTGTCACGTCGCGAGAGGGCCGCGCCACGAAATCCCACAAAGTAAATGGAGGTTTTATGCAAAACGCGCTCTCCTCGGTCTACGGGAAAACCGTCGCCCCGCGCAGTTTCTTCGAGGCACGGCTCTTTGTTAGGCGCTCACCCTCGGCCCATTTCTGTCGCGCGTGTCCAACGTGCGAGACATCGCGAACTATATTTGTCCAGAATTTTCCTGCGAGCGTTCCCGTCGAATTAATACCACCACCATCGTGGAAACAATCAGCACCCGCGAACCTACCTACGAAGAAGAAAACTGTGCGAGAAAATGTGCGACCAAGGGTCCACG